AGAGAATCTTCACTGCCTTAAGCATCATTTACTAAAGAATCCATACATGAAAAGACTACTGACAAGAAAACCAAGCTGGAGTAACAAATATCATAAAAATTACAATGCAGCTAAAGGAGCAATAACATTGATGAGTAACTTCTGACTCATTTAACTATTCTCTACACATTATGTCGGATTCTTATCAGAACTAGATGTGAACATCATATGAACTTCAAGCAATAACAGAGATCCTTTGGTGGGTTTTTAACCTTCCCCTTTAAATAAATGCCCGATTTCACAAAAAGCCAGCATAATTTTTAGGTATCACAAAACCAAGTCTTCATCATTTTGAGTTATTAAAATCCCACGCTACTTTCGTAAGAATTAAATGTGAGTTATCCTGCTTCTTTGCCTACAATGCAGTCTATTGAATTATCCACTGAAAAATGTATTTAGCTCTGAAATAGTAAAAATTTGATGCCCAACTTCCCAGTTAATTGAGTAATTCTGAAGGCACTGAATAGTTAAAAAAAGAAGTTAATAATGTTGTACAAGTGGTTACTGCCACAAAAAGGAAGGTTATTTACCAACAACTTTTTTGTACATACTGGCATACAGGTATCCTAAAGCATTGAAAAGTGATGGTTTTCGATGCTTGGCAGGATCCAAACTACGTGTGCTCTGTTCCTTTCAAGAAGCTGAGGAAGCACTTTTATAAGAGGCAAATACCACCCTATGAATTTATCTGGACCTCAGAATCTATGGAAATGTGATGGAGAAGACTAGGATGACATTTTCTAATTAGTATATTGACAATATTATCTTAATATTACATATTGGCCACCTTTCCTCTTTGTTCAAGTACTTCTTTATATAGAGTCACACTACGGGCGACTTTGTTAGCTGAAATATCACTGTTTCCATAAAGAAGGGTCCTGGGGTCTCGTAACTGAACAATAACTAAAGAAACGTTCTTTCCATCACAAAACTAATAAGAAAACATTTGACAACCAGATAATGTTTCCTAAGGCCACTACATGTAGCTCCAGATTTTAGAGCTACAGGAATGTTACAGGAATGAAAACATTTGACAAACGGGATGTTACCGCTGCCATGCCTTGCAAACTAACTGCACCTTCACCACTGTGTAGCAGACATTAACTCTTCTCCGTAAGTATGCAGTAGATCAGGGAAGAGAGAAGTCTCTTCGAAGGACCTAACCTTCCCTATATCTCTGAACAACAAAAAAAAAAAAGTCCCCAAACTTCAACTAAATCATCCAAAACCACCACAATGACAGGAAAGTACTATTTAGAACTCCAGTAAGTAGATCATGGCCAGAAGTATCCAGCACTGCCTATTCCAATTCCTCACGTAAACCACTTCCCTTTGTATAAAGGGGCATTTCACAGTGTCTTGCTTGTTGAGATACAGCAGGACATTGGTGTGGACCAACACCCCGAGCAATGGTCTCCAGGAAGCGAATCCAAAACATGTAGCATATGTTTTCCTGTTCTCTGAGCTCCAGCATTCTGGAGTTCTGCAGTTCAGAGCTTGCACAGAAGCAAGCTCTCAAACTGAAAAGATAGGCATACATCACTCACAATGGATGGTCAAGGAATGTTGAATGGAATATTGATGTAAACATCATCACTACCTGGCAAAGTCTTGAACCCTTGATTACCAAGAGCTCAGAGAGAGAGAGAGAGAGAGATACAACAGATCAAAAATCTGGCAGAAATTGTGCAACAGAAGCCTCATAATGATGCCAGAATTTCTTACATATTTGTGCCTTGCAAAGACAGCATGATAATTAGATACATGAAACTACGCCAAAGCCAAACAACAGAAATTTTTACTTGGCATTTTGAGTATGTTGTAACAGAACTAATCCCATAGTTGTTTTCTCTTCTCTAGATTCGCAGAAGCTGTCAGTGATAATAGCTAGGTTATATGAAAAAAAACCAAACATCCTTTCCCTCTTGCAAAAATAAGGTATTTCTTAATCCTCCTAGGGCTATTGAGGCATGTAATAAAAAGCTCAGGTCAGCTGGCGAAGATTTACAGTAACTGAAAGTGAAAATCTCCTGACAAAATGATGGTGGAGGATGCATACAAACTATGACTCCACTTTACTGTAGAAAAATAAACTTGATATGAAATTCAAAGGGATGTATATATCTAAACTTGCTTCCAAAATTACAGTCTAATACCATATTTTGCAGAGGACAAAAAGGTTTCTTGCCTCCACAGGAATATCAGTTACAGGAAGCAAGAAGGTTTGGGTTTTCTGCTGTTTGAAGGCACTTAACAGGAGAGAATTCTCCAGGTGAGATGGTAACAAAAGACTGGGAGTCTTGGAACATAAATGAAACAGTTTGAAAGGAGAATAAAAGTGATGGGCAATTATGGAAGATCTCTTAGCCCCTTTCTGCTAAGCACAAAACTGCAAAAAAAACCCCTAAAATTTATAGGAAGCTCTTGCAAAATTCTTCACTGAATACACAGGAAGAATCTACATGTTGCCTTTTCAACAAGTAAAACTGGATGCTCTGAGGAATCAGAATCCCACAGCCAATACTGACATGGGAAAGGAAGAGGTCATCGTTGTGTGACTAAATCTCTTACCAAGAAAATACTGAAAGCCTGACATACAAAGAAGAATTTCTCTAATCGTCCAGGTTGCTGAGAAGAAAATAAGTTGGGGTGAATGGGCACTCACTGCCTGTTTATGACCATGTGTGCTGCATAAATAAATGAGACTATGCCAAGGGTGTGCTGAGGACCTCATTTTTTGTCTTAACAGTGCTCGTGTATGGGAAAACTCTTGTTGCATGTACATACATACAAGTAACTAAAGCAGAATTCCACATTCTGTTCAGTAATTAATTTTTTTTTTCTTTTTAGTGTTCTAATGATAGGTTCAAGTTGTAAAAGTCTATGAATACAGAATCAAAGAATAATTCAGTAATGATGCAGTTCTGTGAAGCCAGTACTAAATTTATTAATTCTGAATGAAATGTAAACATAATTTGAAGAGACAACAGGCCATATACCCCTAATTAAGGATATACTCGTACCCTTAATAAAAAGGCCGACACATATCACAGTTACCTCTAACATTTTATCAGAAAATTGTTCATCAATATTCCTTAAGAAACTTGAGGAGTTTCTAGAGCCATTCCTTAAGCAACAAATGTAATTGCCATTTCAGACAATATACTCAATAACAAGATCTAAAACACCAGTGAATGTAAGATGACTTACAAGCTTACTCTCTTAAACAGTTAAATCTAGATTTTCAAAAAAAGTTATTTAACCATCCAAATCAAGAATTTCCATATTTTACTGAACTGTCAAAAATAAAAATTGAGCCCAAATTAATAATGTCTTCTGGTAAGAAAAATAGCTAAATACATTTCTTAGTGTCAAAGTTTTTCTTAAGTTACGTAGTTATGTTAATATTCACCATTGTTTTCATTTTTAGAATGAAACATTCATACCATTTTCAATAAAACAGCACAAAACCGTTGAACCCATAATTGTCACACTGGCAGAATGATAAAAAGCAGGACAGACCAAAGCTGTTATGCACCGAACATTCATGTCACAAGTGATTAAAAAAACTCTCAAACATTACCTTTCTTTTCAAGGGACCTAAACGTGCTGATTTAGCGTCTTGTGCTTTATAAGTCAACCATAAGGCACTGGCCACATGTTGGACAAAACAGATTGAATCACCATACTTTATTTCTGGGACTCCCATTCCATCTATGTCACGTTTAAGACTAGAATCCTGCTTTTCTTTTAGCTCCTAAGAAGATAAAATAGAAGGTGGCATTTAATCTCTGTAGTGGAACAGGATAAACCACTGAACTCTACACTGAAACACATTCCAATACTGAACAATGTTTATGCTACTTACGTTAAGAGACAGTTAAATCTCATTTCACATAATTTCTGTTTCTATCAAATTAAGTAGTCAGATTCTGATTAAAAATTATTTCAAATCTGAAACATCATTTTCACTGAAGCAAGAAAAATCAAGTAAAATCTTTAAATATTTAACCTAACCTAATCAATAATTGAATTACTGATGTAAATAAAGTCTCAGTTTAGTAGAGTCTGTAGAACTCAATATTACTAACATTTTCAAATTTCAGCTTAAATATAAAAAAATAAAAATGGCAGAAATATATTTTGAAATTTACTTAAATATTTTTATGCTGAATAATTTTTTGTTTATAAATCGAATATACAGATAAAAACTTCACTTAGAATAATGCTTCTGTATTGCAACAACCAGCAAAGAAGAAAATATTTTAAAAATAAGTACAACTTGGCTTTTACATTTATTTTACTTTTGCATTTCTTTTTTTTTATTTCTTTTTTTTTTTAGTTTTTCCATGTATCCTCTTTGTAAGAGGAATTAGATTCTTTCAAATCTCTTTTAAAGACATTGCTCAATGCTCAGCTGAAACACCAGTACAATTTTTTAGCCCAACCTATTTCTTAATGCCATTATTCTTCATTCACAACCAGAGGATTTTAAATTTCCAGCACAAAATCATGTTAATTTTTCTCTAAAATAAAAGTTTTCCTTTCAAAATTGAATTCAGGATTAAGAACAGAATTATACAGATTATTCTGTAATAGCAAATTACAGGTGCATGCGCATGTGTGAGATTAAACAAAACACCCTAAGTACAGTAATTAGATTATATAATTTTTCTGTGATTTAAAATGCTGATGGGCTTAACTTTAAGTTTAGATAGTTGCTCATTAGTTGCTAAGTAAACAAAATATGTTAGACATTGATACACAATTTAAATTATGATATGTGTAATAGGTTTTCTTATTTCAATTCAGTTTACTGAATGTTCAACATCTGTGGAGTAAAGAGAAGTTCTATTTTAACTATGCTAATCAACTTTCATTGATATGGAATTTAGCTGTCACATTTCAACAATAATTTTAGTTGAAACAGACAGCATTATAATGCCAAGATGAAGTAGAATGAAATTACAAGACATTCCCTGGGGATAACATTACAATATGAAGACTATGGGGAAATTATATCATATCATATTTATGGGGACTGCACTACCACGTAAAGATAAAGATGAACTTTTTCAATACACATTAACGGTGAGGCCATTAAATAGAAAATACAGTAAATTAGCACAAATTCATTAACTTTCAGCAATTAATTATTTGGCTTTACATAGCACCCTGAAGACTTAAACATTTTTATCAAATATTATGTCGGCATCAAGAATCAAGCATCAATGAAAATTACAATGAAAGAAATCATAATGTGGTAACAAGCGATTATAATTAAGTTACTGTTTTAAAAAAAATTGAACCATACTGATCATTTTGACAACACTCAACATAAAGAAAGAACAAGATGTTTTGAATTTCAGAAATAAAGCTTTAGAATTATTTTGGGGGCCTGAAGGCTGTTCTCACTTTCAGCAATAAAGCATAAATTCCTCTTCGTGATATTTTGCTCTTTGTGCTCTGTCCAGTTTCTCTAGGATTTCAGCCAAGTAATTTGATAGCAGTGTGCAAAGAGAGGGTGTGTTTTCTAACAGCTGAAAAGTATAGTCAGACAAAGATTATTGGGGGAAAAAGAAAAAAAAATATCTCTTATCTAGATACTTGCACATATCTTAGCAGCAAAATAAACAAACACTTCTTCCTTCAAAACCCCCTCTTCATAACCTATTCTCAGTTTAACTTCCTCAGGCTATGAATGAATCAAGTCAAAGAAAACAAATCACATCATGGGTGGAAGATGGCAAAGAAAAAGTAACAGTAACAAAAAAAAGAAGGAAGCAACGAACAAAGGAACTTGAGGGCAAAGCTGTCAAAGATGAAAATTTTACAGGGTATTTAATACACTAGAAGAAGGGCAAGATTTAGAAAATGAGACAATTCACAGAATCATAGGTTCCTACATAACAGAAGGAAGGTAAAGAATGGCAGTGTGAACAGGAGAAATAAACCCAACTGCTTTACAGTAATTTTTCAACAGTCTTCCTGTGAAAACACAGTAGGGAGAAAACTCTTGATACCTTAAGGGCTTGTTTACACAGCCCTTAGAATGCTAAGACAACCTGACTACTGAACTCTTATTAAATCTAACCTATGTGAGATAAATAAAATTGTATCTTTTGGTGTTTCACACTGTTATTGCATTAAAAGTACTGCCATAGCCACCTCAATTTAACAAATGAAAAAGATAAAAGGTCTACAAACATAAGAGCAGAGGACTGATACATTGAGCTTACCTATCTTGCTAGTGGGCTATACTGTACTCTGTACACTTTGCTGTATACATTTCTACACCACAGTGGGCAAGATAAAAAAAAAAGTTGATTTTAATTTTACCTTCTACTTTCTCCTCCCATACAAAGGAAGCAGAAAAAATAGCTTAATACTGTATTTGAAATGCAGTGCTTACTGGGAAATGACCAACTATAAAACATGAACTCACAAATAAATACTTGAACTTTTAGAGACAATTGCAGGTAAAGGACTCTGTAATACCAATCATCTTATTCCAAAAACGAATTAAACTTTATGAATACTACTAAACTATTACGACATCCTAATGCCATGTTGAGCCCCTAAGATAGCTACATGCTGGCAGTAATATTAAAATGATATCAAATCCTTCTGCATGAGTCATCTGTGACTTTTGAATGTGTCAGAATGTTACTTACTCATACTACATCAATAATTTCTTCATTGTCAATTGTATATACTGCCATGAAAATAAAATACGAAATCTCAAATACTAATTCTGGGCTACAACAATCTTTAAATAAATATTTTAAAATAAGCTCTTGCTCTTCACTGTGATTATTCTCAAAGAAATTAATAAGCAGAAACAAGGTTCTGCTTAGCATAGTATACTGAGCCAAGTACTGTGCTGGAATGAGAACATCTGATTTCAAAACAGGATTCCATTTTTAGGGAAACTGCTGTGTCTGTGGTCACAAGGCATTACAGAACTGCTGCCTCAAAATATAAAGGCTGACATTTTAAATCTTTGTCAAAAGTAAGCTCTACATTAAACCCAATAAAAGGCATATTTTGGAGGTGTTCTATAAATTTCTGATGCCTGTATGCTTAGTTTGCAGTGATTTGCAGTAAACAGACATACAATGCACAAGCTGTTTTCATTGAAAACAGCACCATAATGTTGTTTAGCGTATTCTTTCACTTTTTTAAAAGCTCTGATCTATTCTTATTTATGTAAGGACATATTAAGAAAAATTCTGATTTTACCTGCCAAAGGAAACAAAACAGTGAAAGTAATTACATTATGAATGCAATCACAGGTTTTGAAAAGCAAGGAACGCACAACACTGCTGAAGTGGTATGTAACAATACTGAGGACACTGCAAAAGGTGTGCTTTTGCAACAAGAGGGTCTCTATAACTGTTGGAAAATAACACTTTAAGTCACGTCTACAGGCTCCTGGGAAGCCTAAGGGGTTTGGTATAGTCCACAAAGTAAACCAAAGTATACTACAGTATACCTCAGCTCTGCCTACTAGAAAACATAATTTTTTTTTTCCCCACAAAAAAACTTCTGCTGGGTTTTAAACCGGAAAAAATACCTCAACGGAGAAATGTTTTATTTCCTTTTCCAATACTCCACAGCAATGTGTCATCTGAGTAACCCGGTCTGAATTCAATGTTGACACCACCTGGAGGAGAAGGCTGGACTAGGTGACTTCCCAAGGTCCTTTCCAATCAGAATTATTCTATGACTCTAAAGAGCAGGAGCACTGTTAAACACCCAGGTATTCCAATACCCTACTTTTAAGGCTCTATACACAGCTGGATAGGAAGGTATTGGTCAGTTATCTTGAAATTTTCCTTCATTCATGCCATATTAAGGTCCTGGCAAGTGAAAATATTTCCACATCGAGAACATGAACAGGAGAAAACAAAGGTATACAAATACATATGTGCAGAAATTAAGATAATCACACTTGCATACATCCAGACTATTAGTTCAACAGTTCTTTTCCCCCCTCAATCTGTATGCAATCAGCACTTGGCTTTAAGAGTCCTTTCCTTCTTATAGTCCAGATCAATCTCTGGGGTTTATTCGCTTCCAAAATCTCATCTCTCTTTCTTCAGGAAGAGTTTTCATTGTTTGTTCCCCTCACTTTTGGAACCACTAATGTCTGTATCCATGCACCAGTGCAGCTCTCACCTGCCCAGACAATAACTAATCTTATTCTTGGCACAGGCAAAAGTAAACTTATAACCTATTGTGAGATAAAAAGACTATTTTCTATATAGGACAACATGAATCCTAGGATGAGACACTGAACTTGTATTTCATATAAAAATGTACATTAACAACTATATTATGTAGAAACACAGTAGAAGGGATGAATGGATAACACAGTTATTATTAACTTCTACATAATTAATTACTACTGTACCTCACCTTAGTCATTTTGGGGAATGTAACAAATTTCACTAATGTGCCTTTGAAGCACACCAGAACAAAAAGGGTAAGAAAATAGGGTATGTTTATTCAATGTAGCAGAAATTATTTATTTTATGAGTATGCACACATAAACATAAAATTTATATACTTAAAAATTATGCCTTTACATGCACGGTTTAAAACATTAAGAAATTGCAAGACAGTCAGTGTCCAATTAGGCATTGAGTATGTTACAGGCCTTTCAACACAATGTTAAACGAGTAACTGTGGTACTCCTGGCATACTGATCTTCCTTACCAAGATGCCATAATTTGCCAAAAATGGGGAAAAATTACAGCTGCAATAAATGCCTCTGCACAACATCACATGTACAATCTACACTGTACAGCCTTTATACTGAAGAAACAACCAAAAACTATTTGGTGAGCATCTAGCAATCTAAGGAAATTTCCTGAGAGTTTTTCAATTATTTTGATTGGTTAAAATATAAATTCTTGGCATACCATATGAAGTCACACTAATACACATTGTTATGTTAAACATGCTAAAAAGACGTATTTGCTTTTGACAGTCTAGCATCTGTCATGACACTTAATGTTAGATTTTATCTAATATATATCTAACTTTAAAGATTCTCTTCCACTGCCCTTGAGGGACCTTATAGCATTCAGAATTACATGGAACATTTAACTTCTCATACCTAACAAAAAACTCTATGGTAGTAGCTACGGCAACTATTCATAAGCAATATCATCAAAGTGTGTGAAAACTTTTCATCATCTCTGGCATAAAAATCTTTCAGTTTCTGGAAAAAAGTTATTGATATTTCCTACCTCCATAATCATTCTTCATTCTCTCTCACTTGTACTGTTTTTTTTCATCTGAAAATGGTGAAAAAGCTAGTAACATGCAATTAGCAGCTCACTAAAGAGCACAGTTTGAAAACATATGGTGTAGAAATCACTGACTACATTTTCCTTGTCATTCACCTATCAACACACTGCACAAAGAATAGTAAGAGCAGAATCTTGCCTGACTGAACTGAATTCAATTGAACTAAATGATGACAGATAGAACTGGAATGAATAACATTCTAATGAAATTGTCCAACTAAAATGATTCTATAATATAGAATCTATAGCATTCGTATTAAACCACCGTATCTTTCACTGTATTAGTTTTCAATCTTGTTTTTTTTAACCTGTTAACAGTTTAGTTTACTCTAAAATTTATTATCCCTATTTTTCCTCTTTGCTACTCTTGACTCAGATTGTTTACCTTTGTATTTAAATGCATAATCCCTGTCAATTGCTTCAATTTAGAAATTACAAATAATTTATAAAGTCATTGAAACAACTCTGAACTACTATTTGAGTGTTCCACATGTAGGACAAGTTTGAATTGATGTAATTTACCTTTGACGCTCTAAAACAAAAGGCAGTAGACGTTGTGTCTGACTTTTCTCTATCTAACATGGCAAGTCCTTCATCTTCATTCAGAGCCAAGTACTTTCCTGTTGTAATATGTCGAAGACGGAAAGGCTGTCCCCATCTGATGTTACTTCCACTCCAGCTAAACATATGAGACACCAAAAAATAACATATAAAGTAAGCAAAACTACTATTTCTATTTTGGGCTTTAAAGGCATTAAGGAAATAGAATGTGCTCTATAAATTCTTTTTTGGTTTTGACTTCAAGATTTGCATCAAAACAGATGCAAAACTTAACACATTTGCAAAGGGAACCTTGGAAAGGAGTATAGCTTTAATTTTCTTGTTTCTATACCCTCTCTCTGTTTTATTAGTGTGTTACATATGGGGTGCATAAAAAAATCGTATATGTTTCTGAAAAATATTAAAGTGTAAATTAACTACTCTATTTCAGTTAACTGCCTAAACAAACTAATTAAACCTGAGGACTCAACATTCCAAAGAACTACCCTACCTCTCTGTCAGTTGTGAGGGTATTTCATTTGCAAATATAATACACCGAGAGTAAACCAAACATACAGTACAGAAGATCATCAAAGTTAAAACGTGTATATCCTTATGGTATATATCAAAATTTCCCTTGCAACAAGATAGCTAATCACCTAGGGAAGGAGATGGAGTCAAAAAAAAAAAAAAAAAAGGACAACACCCATGGTGGATATTCTGATTTCCACCTGTGCTTCTAAAATTCAAAGTAAAAACTAGAAAAGCATTTTACTTTTGGACAGGAGCAATGTCTCAAGCTGACGTATCTCACAGGCAACACTGTTTCTGATATGGGACACAGACAGAAAAAAAAGTCTTAAAATACTGACGTTCCCCATATGATTATATCATGGTAGATTACTTTTGATTAAAGACAATGGACATACTAACATATATTATATAGCAGGACAAATATATTACTAATTTTCTCCTTTAAGGGTCTATAACAATTGACTGGCTGTTAACATAACAAGAGTTGCTAACAAAAAAGTTCGAAAAATACCTGTACCTTATTCGTAGAGGTTCTACTCTCCACAAAGACCTTGCTCGAACACCAGCTCCTCCAGTTTCATAAAGTACTTTCCTACAGAAAAGATTCAGAAGATCAACCCCTTGTGCTTATAAGTTACACAGTACTTGTAACTTATTCCTCTGTAAACTGTGAGGACTCACTTCTTCTCTTCAGCTAAACAGATGGAGTTGAACGGACAGAAGATTCCTACTCATCAGTGAGAGCACGATACACAATCTGAATGTCCCATGTAAGTCAGGCTATTTCCATTAAGCTATTCCCTCTCAGGAGTTGATAAAATACTTTGCCTTCAAAGTGGCTGAGAAACTTTCGCTGTTACTTAATCAGCCATAAAAATAAGTAATTCAGACAGGTCCCAAGAGTGTAATCTAAATTACTAATGCTCTTAAATACATATAAACACAAAATTAAAATAAGGATAGACATTTGCATACATTAATGATTATCTGCAAGAATACAACATCAGACACTTCATTCCTAGAAGTACTTCTAACATTGTTATTAAAAGACAAAAATGGTGGCGATGATGAAACTAAATTTTTGTATCATAATCCTTGCAAAACAGATAATACAGGTAAGATTATATATTAGTTTTAGGAAACTCAGAGAAACAAAAAACAGGAAGTGAAGAGATTCAGCCCTTAATACAATCTAGTTTTCTTGAATTACTGTCTGGGGGTTAGTGACACGTTCTAGCACTGAAACTAAATTCGACTCAATAATCACATACAAACAAATACAAACTGTTGTAGACTAGTCCTGTTCATGGGAATACATATAAGAAAGTTTTAGTTTTTCATCTTTCAGTAATCATTCATGTCTTGTCATCCAAGCATCAGCATTTGTATAACCTTTCTCATATCGAATAGATATAGGAAATATAATGGATAATAGGAAAGGTCTTGATCTGAAACTTCGGATTCATAGAACCTTTTTCTTTTAGTAATAATCTATAAAAATAATTTTAATAATAATTGTATTTGTTACATTCTTCAACAGTATAAAATTTAGGAAATAATATATTTCTTCCCAAATTACTATTATAACTAAGTATTTGATTAGTTTGATGTGCACCTTACCCACTTTAAAATGTTTTAAGAATCTTTTAACTAACTATATCTAACTGATTTTACACATTTTTAGGCCACCATCTGCAACTTTACTGCTGTTGGGAAACTGTATTAGAGTGAAGGCCTTGCTTTCACAATATGACTCCCAAGCTATCCTCCATACTGTGCTACGTAAAGGTTTATTGCATCATGATTCTACAATAAATTGAAATGTTCTATTACTCATAGCAAATGCTCAGTGGATGCCTTAACTAAACAGAAATCTGTTCACAAAGCAAACTAGTACTAGAGGATGACACAATTATTTTTTGTTATGCCCTTAAGAGTGTCATAACAAAATGTATGTGTAAACTGTGAGTGTGGTCAGAAACTGAGCCCTTCAGGCAGACATAATAATACCACGTTCTTAATAATGTAATATACTGCAGTACTCCTTCATAATCTGAGCAAGAAAGACAGGTTCAGACATACAAGCAGAATTATTCCAGATGCAAACCAAACTGATTCGCTAGCTTCTTTTCAAAAGTGCAGCAAACTTCCAAAAGTTTGCTTGGTTCTTTGATTTTTTTCTTAGAGCAATATAAACAGACAGCCTTTTGTGTATTTCTAAACTTCTCTGGCAGTGGTTCTTTCTGTTAATATATTTATTTATTGATACCTAAAGGAGAGATTGTTTGAACCTTTCAGCAATATCATTTGATTCATACTTATTCCGAAATGTTTTCATCAATTTCTAATGAAAAAAATTGTTGTAGCATTGTCAGAGGTAAGAACAGTAATTCATATAACTTGTTCTTCCCTTTCCCAATGAAAGAATGGGTGAAGAAAGATGACGAAAACAATTCCACTGTTTCTTTTTTAATTAAAATAATTGGAATTGACCCCAAATCATAAAGACAGTCAAACTGAAAAACACAGAATAATGCAGAATGAAAATAGGACTGTACCATAATGTGATCAAGGTACTAAAAAAAAAAGAAAGTTCAAACTGTAATTTGGTTCTTAGGAAAGGCTTTTGTTTACACCTCACAAAAACAACAAAATAAAAAAAACCCCACAAACTAAAAATCTAGTAGGACATTAGAGAAAGGCCTTTATTACTATTAAAAAAAAAAAAATGTTCTGCGTACCCTGAGTTTCAGCTCAAGACCTCTCCTATTATCCACTGTATTTCATATATGCATTTGATATGAGAAAGTTTATACAAATTCTGGTGTTTGGATGACAAGACATGAATGATTACTGAAAGATTAAAAACTGTCTTACATGTATTCCCGTGAACAGGACTAGTCAACCCTAGCATGCACAGGAGCTGACCTTCTCTTGTACTTATGTATCTGTAAAAATGTGCAGCAAGGGAATTTAAAATCTGCCTTCCTGCACTGTCAAACTTGACTGAATACTGCACATGCATACATAAAAATGTCACAAGCTAGCTGTTATACAGTCTGTCCTGAATTAAAGTAGCATTTTGAAATGCAGAATTTTAACTGGCTTTTCAGATTGTAAAATTCTTTTCCTTTTTCAATAGTTAACAGAAAAAAAAAAGTTTAGCATTTTTCTTGTCCAACTATGGGACCTGGAACTCAACTTGTGAAATAAAGGTTTGTTTTTCTTATCTGAGCAAGCGTTTCTACAACTTTTCTTCTATTGAGAACACTTAAGGTTTTGATTTATCTGATATTCTGCTTCTTGATGAACACCAATACATTCCAGGAAGAATCTACATATTAACATGATGTATACTGAAGTGTGACAAACCATTTGCATCCAGTATCTTTATAAGATGATGGACTTGTAGATCTACATCTGTACATTATTTAGGAGTCACACTTAAGAACACACATGCAATTTCAAAAATTCCAAAATGACAGTGCACCTTAAGATTAAGAATACATATTCCTCATAGCAGAGGTAGTAGTATTTCCTACACATTTTGTCTTCTGTAATAATATTTTTGACACTCTAGAATCAAAATAGAAAATGACAACAAAAACCCTAGCAATCAATTCACCTTCATTTCCAGACTCTATGAATATGATCTTTCAAAGTCGCTTCCAACCTGGGCTGTTTTATGACTCTGTGAATATACTGAATACACAATAACTGTCTGGAGTTTTTATTTTCTGTTTTCATCCTAGATCCTCATTGGTCCTATTCACTTTACTGATGTTACTTTTGGAGAATCTAATGACCTCTTCCTAGCTAAGCTCAAAACTAATGATCTCTTTCCATTCTCTTTGACCTCCTTCAGTTCTCCTTGTCCCAACTCAACCATTCCTTCACTGAAAGAATACCATAGGTATGTCCCTGTTCACCTCTTATACTTAAATTCCTATACTACTTAAATTCTCCCACCTTTTCCAGCTTTTTTCTACATGCAACACTGTACTGGCATTAGTGACTTGCTCTTACAGTAAAAAAACTGCAAGTGAAAGAAAATTGCTGCTTTTTCACAACAGTATACACACATTTTCTTAATCTTCTCCTTGATTCCATCCATCCATCCATCCATCCATCTTATTCTGAGTTTTTGCCAAGCCTTCCTTTTTAATGTTCAATAAGTCCATCCCCTGTATTTTCACTTGGCCTGTAATAGAAGACCTTAAGATTCTTGGCAGAGAATAGTCACTGTATGAATTGTTAAGAAGCATTCTCTACAGAAGGCTTCAGATAATTACATGTCTGTTCTGTGAAAAGAGAAATTATAATTCTCGTCTAACTTAGGTTATTTAATAGTCCTAATGGAATGCACAGAAATGATTAAACAAAAAGATGGAAATAAACATGACCATTTTTTACAGTTCTTTCTCCTATTGCTATTTTGGTTTTTTATGTATTCATTTTGTTTTGCATAATGTAAATGTGACTCCTACAACTATGGCACAGTACAAACTTGGCCTTACATCTATTATGCAGCTCACAAATCCAAAAGATAGGACAACTGCAAATCATCAATTTTAGCACATTGTATCACTATCCAACATTTGAAAATACAGCACACTATTCTCCTATTTTAGGAATATAAATACATAGATTTCATTCAGAAAAATAAACATTTCTGTATTTTACCCTTTTATTTACATAGTTGTAAAAAATGGAGGCAGAGCTTAAGGTGGTAATACACACCAAACATACATTAAGAACATATAGGGCAAGAGAACTGGAGAACTATTTTTGGTTTTAATTATATCTGACTTGTAGATAAGTAACAGCAATAGAGAAGTACAGCATTTCTGAACATACTGAAAAGTCTCAACGCCTATTCTAACCTTATTAAGACTGGGTGTTTATGAAATTCGTCTGAATATGACATCTGTTCCACACAAAGTATCTAGATCCTAATACTTCTGCTAGTATTTTTATACTACATATGCATATTTTCACACTCTGTGCAAACTTTGTATCTTTTTTTTTTATATAAACATGGAAAGAGAACAGCAATAAAAAGAAAGTGAAGTTTTCCCCCATTCAGTTTGAGTTTTCTTTTGGCTTTGGACATTTTTTACTCCACAGTAACGTAAAAATGGAAAAATTAGAGTTGAAAAGTTTACTTGACATAACCGCATATTACTTGTGGTATCACACTACTTAAAGCATAACTTATTTGCCACAATTGTTATAGAGATCTTATTTTTGAATATGATTTTTAATGCTCGGGTTTTTGTGTATCGAAATTATTAGCTTGCTGTGCTTTTGATTATCAGCAAAATGCAAAATTAAATTCAAATAATAAATCAATATATAGTAGCTGTAGATTTAAGTTTAATACAAAAGTGATTTAATCTAGCTAATATGATTTAATTATCTTAACATATTAATCTAATTTGAGAGAGTAAGAACTTGCACAAACATGCAAAAATATATAAAATAGGAAAGTCATTGTATAGGCCAAACCTTCAGCTATTTTTAACGCTTTTTTAAAAAAAAATTACCATCTTCCCTGATAATGCTTTCTTACCTTTGCTTATAGTTGCACACATTAAAGACAAACAACATAACAGGCTGAAATCTCAGTGGAAATCATCTACTTGAATTTCAGCAATAAAAGAACTCATGACTGATTTTCTGCTTGTAACAACATCACTGCCTAATTAAAGATTGCTGTAAAGAGTGTTTAACCTATCTAACCTCAAATTCAACTGTAATTCAACAATCTATTTCTTTTTCTTAAGAAGAAAACATATAAAAATGTACCACCACTCACTTGTGCTGTAAATCATTCTGATCTGTAGGTGGAATTGTCAAACACTCATCATGGCCATGGAAAAAACGTACTACATGCCCACCAAGAAGATAACCTGTAGAAGAAGCACACTTACTCATTAGCTTAAACATTGACAATATGAAAATAACACCCTCAAAAAATATTTAAAAATTCAAAAGACCTAGGTGAAATCTGTTGTACAAATCTTCACTCATAACTGAAGTTAAACAAGAAGAAAAAAATTAGTATGACAACACATTATTTTTAGTATCTCTTTCAGTTAAAGAAATTTTTTCTGAAAATTAAGACAAAAAGAAAGTATCTCTTAACATGTGAAAATTAAATTAGGATTCTGAGACAGAAAAGGAAAATAAAAACTGCTACATAATTAATATTTTGAAAATTGAATGCTTTAGGTAAAAGCCAAATTATATATATAATATCACAGTTTCCTCCCCTTAATTTAAATGTTCTCAACACAAAATAATTTGGCACGTTTGGCAGTTTGTTCTGACACTTATAATTTGTGTCAAAATCAAAAGTGCACAGCAGCAGCAGGAGACAGAGGACAGAAAAACACTTAGTTCTGAAGATTAAGCTTAATGGCAGGTAACTTTCCAACCCATTTAACACAAAGACTACAGGTCAAAACCAGGCCCTTTGCATTATAGAAAAAAGAAAAAAAAATGTTGTAGGAGGAGAATGATTCATCAGACCCTCAGTCCAAACTGTTCTGACCTTGTAAGTGAAATTAGTGCCTTTTAAAAGAACAAACACACATAAAGGAGAAAGGATAGAAGGAAATTTTTCATACTGTGTGGCCAATTCAACATAAATTTGTAAATTGGGAAAACAGTAACTGGCAATTATCCTGTTGCAAATTAATACAAAGGTCAAAGCAAAGAAATAACACAAAAAAAATTTATACTTTCGTGATATTTATGTTCCTTCAAAAGTACATCAAACATCCCAAAAAGCCTGTTGTGAGACTTCTAGTCTGATTTTAGACTCAGGAAAATCCATTTTCTCAGTCTGTCCATTCAACTTGAGCTAGGCTGCCAAGTCTTTTGACTTGATCATCCCTCACATAAACCGCTCTAAGAAGTACATATACAGCTAAACCTAAGCCTAAGTTGGGAAAAAACTGACACACAGAAAACCTACTTTTCTGCTTACCCACCCTACCCCCCCACTTTTTTTTTATTATGCAATTTTTGATTACATCTTCAGTTCTGAGCTATACAGTACAAGGGTCCCAAGTACAGCAAAGAGCCACTAAAATGATTAAGAGACTGGTGCATCTCACACAGGAGGAAAGGCTGAGAGAACTGGGACTGTTTCACCTAGAAAAGAGAAGGCTCTGGGGGGACCTCATCAACGTACAGGATGGAGTCAGGCTCTCTTCAGCGGTGCCCAGTGACAGGACCAGAGGCAATGGGTAACAAACTAAAACACAGGAGGGTTCCTCTGAACATCAGGAAACACTTTTTCACTGTGAGGGTGACTCAACACTGGCATAGGCTGCCCAGAGAGGTTGTGGAGTCTCCATCCTCGGGGATATTCAAAAGCTGCCTGGACACAGTCCTGGGCAACCTGCTCTAGGTGGTCCTGCTTGAGCAGGGGTTGGACCAGGTCCCTTCCAACCTCAACCACTCTGTGATTCTGTAAGCACTTAAGAAATCTAGCTGCCAAATCCCTGCTGCTACAGAAATCTAAAATATACCATCGATTTTCCATGATCTCTCTGTGTAGCTCATTATGTTTGTCATCTGTTACAAGTTTTTAATTTTACTATAGGACGGCTTTTCTGTTTGCTTGGTTTTGTTTTACCTGTGAAACCTGACAACACGATGACTTTTCCAGATTTAACCTCTATTCTATTTATGACCCATGATGGCATGGGACCAGCCAGCCATTTACAAATATATGGCTCCAGCATAAAACACTTCTTGCAACAGAAAGCATTAAGAAAGTATTATAAGAAAAATCCATAACCCCTGTGCTCTTAAAATGAAACCTACAAATGCTCTGAGTCAAGTTTCTTATGGCCCAGTGCACAGGAACACTGTGGGATGCTGAGTTAAAACCATTTGGGGTTATAAGGGCCCAACCATAGCTCAGATAAGCCTAGTGACTGTTAGTCCTATGATCCTGTACATTATTATATCATGTGACCAGTTTTCGGGTCAAGTGATACAAAATGATCCTGACTTAAAGTCATTTCCCATTTATAGATGTGGAGGGCTGATACTTCAAACAGAGAACAGCAGAGGTAAAGTACAGTGTTTCTTATGACAGTGTTAACGACAGAGTATGGCATTGAAATGAGGAGCAAGACTGAGTGGATGAGCTGTTCATCACAGAACAAGACATTTCTCAAACAGAATATGAAGCTTCTCAAACATGGTTGTGAAGTACAGTCAAGTACCTAGAAAGGAATCCTGACTCTGTGATGTGGGACTTAAAGGTTGATTAAGAGGATGCATTTAGAGAGCTTCTTTTCATTGACTACCACAGAGAGACGGTAAGGAAGCATGGCTGTGAGATCCTGAAAGGATACTGAGCAAATATATTAAAAATCACAACTAGGAGACAGAAATAGGAACTATGAGAAACCTGCTTTCCTTTTTGTGTGTACCTTTCTCTCTCCTCCGCTGTCTCTGTTACAGTGAGATTGAAAATCTAAGTTTACTGGCTTTAGTTATTCTGCAGCTCCTATTCCCCAAAGTTACACCGAAGACAATAAACTCATCTGTTGCTCTCTCTGACTTAATTTCTCATGCAGCTTTTTATGCTTTGCTGTTCTAAAGTTATAGCACTTATTTAGTTCTTTGTCAGTTAATTTGGCTGATATATCTGTATTTCCCCATTTTCCCTCCTGTTATCTTCTCTCGTATGCTGTTTATTTTCACTAAGCTATTTGGTTTTGAGTGTGGTTTTTTTTTTCATTTTCACTGTTTATGAAAAGCAACACAAAGTAATCTAAAGCATATATATTTCTAAATAAATAAAATGACAAACCTTCTGTGATATTGCTTCCTGAGCATGTAGGATGTACATTCCATAGCGTCTGCATAAAGGAGGCATCCACTTGAATACTTCCATTTGACATGGAGAGATGCTGAAATAAGATGACAGTAACAGGAAACAGTAAAATTTATGTGCTTAAAAATATTTAGTACATTAATTTCTCAACAATATAGAAATACATACTAAAGTAAACACACAAATATTATTTAAAAATTAGTAGTCACTTGGTTTTAAAATTATTTTTTATTCTAAATCTAATGAACAGACTCCATCTGCAGCTTAAAAATCTTCCACAGTTACAAAAATAAAAACTTCCCAAGATGGAGAATATTGAAGTACACCTCCAAATAAAGGCATGGAAACAGTCTTGTTCTAAGGAGAGGGGGAACTTTCACTGACAAAAAAAAAAAAAGTGCATTACAAACAGGTATTTCCTAGATTAGAAGAAATTTAATTCATAAGAATCCCAAACATTTTCCCCAACTCCTCACAGCATTTTGTGTTTTCCCACCCTGTGTCCACTTGCTAAACAAACCAACCTACCAGGTATCTTTCAGAGGACACACTGACCAGGATAAGATCATCACCTATTCGAACTTTTTCTCCTTCTGACCTTTGTTTAGAAGCAGGGTGTATTGTCCACCAGCATGCTTCACCTAAGGGACAGAGATACTTATCAAGGGTATAAAAACCACACAATCCCCAAGAAATGTAAGGGTACCTTTACATTACATTGAAATAACATAATAAATAATTGTGTCTTACTAGACATTCACCTTATAAAAGCACCTCATTCCTCTTATCAAACCATTTTGGTTCTTTTTCTTTTTATTGAAACTTTCTGTCAAACCATCTTTGTCATCACTGAAGCCAATACTACTCTTTTAATATTTTTTTAAAGCAACCAAGTATTTACAAACACTGATCAGAATTGTCCTCCTTTCAAGGCTCTCACTGACAGTAAATTGCTGACAGCTACCTCAGTCTTAATTATCACTTTTGTGTCGTCTTTTTCTTAATGTTCATATTAATTCACAATCTTCTGTATCATTTCCACCCTAAGCTACCTTTATGTTGTAGAATGCAGAATTGTGAAACAAATACTCCTAACTTTACAATATTGCTACACTACAAATATCAGTTCTGGGAGCAGTTCCATTAGCACTACAGACCACACAGCTACAGGATAGGCAAGGCTAACAGTGACAATCAAAGAACATTTCCTCCCTGTTAAATACAAAATTCCGCACTGCTTTGTGCACACACACACACACACACCATGCCCCCCCATTCTGGGATGATTACGTAATTAATTCCAAAACTTCACACCTTTCAGGGTCTAGTTAAGACCCTGAAGAAAGCTAGTTGAATACAGCTTTCTCACTGGGCAATGCAAAGTGGGAGAAAAATAAACAAAGGCAAAATTTGTAGCGTAAAACAAAGCACAAAAATCTGTTTGATCAGCTAAGAAATTTCATGTAAAACCTCCTTAAAACAAAATTTGAAGTTTATGAAGCTAATTATAAAGACGACAATTAAAGTCACATCCCTAAAAGTACAAATATAAAATGCAAAATCTTTAAAAGAGCGTAATTTCAAATATGCAGTAGCTTTTCACCTGCTAGGTGAAGAATACTTCCTGCACCTGAAACTGATTCAATAGGACAATTTCGTCAGTGGGGGAGCAGGGTAAAGGGAGGTGATATTACGGTGTTCAGTTTATGAAGTTTACAAGCATGCAGTAGTAATCAAAATCCTCTGTGCAGAACCACAACCAAGCATGCCTTTTATGCATTGCTTTTTATATCTTACCTATGTGTACAAGGACCTTTTTGTATATTTACAGTTACGCAAATACCAATATGAGACAACTACTGATATTAATTATAAAAACTCATGGGCAAAAACAGACACTTGCACAATAACTGTGAAAAACTACAAAATTATAAAGACAGATTTCACTGAAACTATTTGCAGAGAGACAGAACACATGCATTCCTTTTTATCAGCAAACCTAAAGAAAATGGTCTCCGTCTAAGGCAGCAACCAAAGACATAATCAATTAACAGGCTGTTAATAACTGAGACCGTTTTCTATGTGGCTACAAACAACTGAAATAAACTTCACTCATTCAAAACAGAAGGTCATGTAGATAACCAGAGTCACCTGGAAAGTTTCAAAGATCATGGTCCACAAACATTTTAACGCCTATATTGGCAGTGCCTCTCTATCTTCAATAAGATTATTTTGATTTTAATTTATTTTCAAAACAATAAAAAAATGGAAAGCACAGGTTGATATTAATACAACTACCATTTCTTTATTTGAAGCTTCACATTAATGAGGTGTGTATACAGGTACTCAGTTTTTCCTTCAAGGTATATGTCTGGGTGTGGGTACTACAGGGTCACCTGTTACTTTCTGAGGCATCTTCATCACTTCCAGTAACCATTAACACTATGTATCCAGTAGCACATAAACCTATTTGTGGTTCTTTGTGCCTGACTTGCTTTTAAATTCATTTAACATAGCTCCCAATGGCATCTCATCGTTTATATATGCAATTCATGGAAGTATAATTTTTTAATTTTTTTTTTTTTTACCTATATTTCTGTCAGCAGCACTGTTACTGGCAGTACTCCCGGAAACCTGTTAATTAGATTTTAAGGATTTCTTGTAATTTCTTGTTTGTGTCATATCTCTTCTACTCTGTCCCATTCTAATTTTGATACATTTTATGCTTTTGTTTTTCTTCAACTCTTTTAGCAATGTGCTCATTACATTTTTTCTGTTTTCCTGTCTCACAAGTTGCATACTTCTTTTGTTGCAAGGTCACAATGGATATTGTGAATGCACTGATATACGGCTTTTCTGTACTCTAATTCTACTGAAAGTGCCAAAACATACAAAGAGAAAACGAATGCATCATATTTATTTCATTCAACAGAAATATTTTACTTTGACCATTATCACCAGTGTAATTGCAGCTGCGGTAACTCAGTTTAATTGCAAGGCACTCTCACATTCTTACACAAAGTCAGTTAATTTACTGGAAGTCATCAGTATTGACAGTCATCATTTACTTTCAGTCACCTTATTTCTAATGAACACATAAACATGACATTCATAAGCTTACAGTGCCATTAATCCCAATGCCTCATCTAAAAAAAGAAATGTGTGATGTTTTCCTTCAAAAATAACTTGCCATACCTGCTGCATTTTCTCGTAGTCCCACATCAAATGCAAGTTTATCCGTCTGCGATCTTGATGATGTTAAACATGTCAAATACTGCAGAACAGTGAAGTTAGTTAAAACAAAAAACCCAACAGTATCCATTAACACACATGCCAAATTAATGCATTCACATTACTCCATCTTATTATCAGCCTATTTAATTTTTTTAAATTAGCTAAGCATTATGTTATTTGGGTACGAGCTCTTCCTCACTTTAAAACTTCAAAATCCTTTTCCTCTTGAGCACATATTTCTCTGTGCAATTTATCTCCTGCCTTCCAAAGCTTCACATAGTTCAACAAATAGGAACAGGTACACATCTTATTACAGCATTACTCTAATAAGTTTGTGTCATGAAAACATAGCAAGCATACCAAAATGTCGTCATCATACTTGCAACTCTGCTATATCAAGGCAACTACAATTTGTCTCATAAACATAAGCAACAGTTTGAAGACTAATGCAGCATTTTCTAGTACACAAAAAAAGAGGGAAGATGTTTTCTTGACTTCTCATTTCTTCAGTCTCCTATAAGGTATACTTGCATGGGCGCTAAAACAAAGGTGCAGAACAGTTAAAATCTTCCAGTTGTACAATGTAGTGGAACAAAATTTATACAAGGTAGCCTGAAGGTAACAAGTTTGTGGGCATATTCTCTGGGGACTTTGGGATGTTAAAAGGAACAACTTATCTTATAAAACATGATTGAAAAAATAACACGTCACAACAAATTCATTTGCAATAGTAGCAACTTCCTAATGCAATTATCATTAAAAAGGATTCTTAAAGTACACAGAAATAATCCACAGCTAAAGGAGCTTTTCAGCTACATTCTGAGTGAATGGGATTGAAGAGTCTGAATTTAAAATATAAAGGCCAATTCCATTGTGTTGAGATACCATAAAACATTCAATTTTTTTTCTCTAGTGCAGAAGAGAACTTAGAAAGAACGTTCTTCCAAATTTATAT